AGCCCTTGTCTTTATTATTGATTGTTTTAAATATCTCCAATGTAGACAATATATCCTTTTATAAGGCTTGTCGTAAAACGATATGTCTCTCAATATCATTTGTCATTTTTTGGCAATTTTTGGGCGACATCCTGACATGGCTGATATATCAACCGATATGTTTATCGATATGTCCTTTTATATGACATATTGCAAAATAGTATACCGCCTTTGGCAATTTTTGGGTAATATATCATGATTTTTCTGATGTATCAGCTGACATTTCGGTCTCAAACATATCAACCAAAATATTATAATGTCGATTTGGACTTTTATTTCTTTAAAATGAATGATTTAGATTTATGGTTCAATTGAGTATGCTTAGATTTCAATTGAGTATATGCTTAGATTTCGTTTGAGTACGTTTAAATTACATTTACTTTTTAGGATGCTATATCATATATGCACCAATGTTTTAACAAACTCCCGCCTAGCCTGCCTAGGCTCCTACTTAGCCCTAGACGATATATAGACTGCCTAGGCTCCGCCCGCCTAGGTCTGGAGAGCCCCTAGGGGAGCGAAGACTACTTATGTGGACTGCACTGCTAGGTCTTGATTGTGATTGCCTCTGTTGGTGCTACCACGTCCTCTAACCTCTTCTAGCCTCCTCCACTGAGTATACCTATTCCTCCGAATTTTCAACAAAGCCCTCCCCATCACCACTTAAATAAAAAAAGAAATCTTCTTGGGCTAGTTTGGCACCTATTGGTGCCTAGCATTTTTGATAACATTGATTGTAATTTAAAAAATAAAAAAAAGAAAAATGTCTAGGCTCCTGGTAGGCTCTGGGCGCCGTGTCCGACGCCTACCTTGTGCTTTATGTAACATTGATATGCACATCACCTGATATGGCACTCCTATTATTACTACATATCCCTAATACCCGAATCCATTGTGGAATTTGGTTGTTTGATATTTTCCCGATATTTGATATTTAAGACCTTGATACATACATACGTACATCCATACATACACATGTATGTACCTCTGTACGCAATATCACAATTGGGTGTAACATACAGTTTAAACCTACCTTTGATAGCAAAAATGGGCATCAATACATGATAATCTAAACAATTCACTGTGGATACATTCTAAAACCTATATGTATAAAAATAACATGAAGCAGGAATTTCTAACCTACTAATTGAGCAACTCAAAGTAATTGGCTTTTGAGATTGTCACAAGCCATTCATTTATAGATCCTGTGATGCATAAGCAAGAAATTCTCGATCCATGCTATTTTGGTCAATATGGGATTTAGAATTTGTAGATCACAATGATGGTTTGGATCATCATATATAAGTGCCACAGATAGCTCTGAATTCTGATATGATACTTTATACTGTTTGCCCGTGAATACTGCATCGCAGTCAATATCAGCCTTTCATATAAGGGTTGCCTGGAAAATCGCCCAAATTTCATGAGATTGAATATTCTTCCACTGCAGGGGACCAAAAGAGACTAATAACTTCACCGCCTGTTGCTGTCTTTCCTCATCCCCTTGCAAGTGATCTCAGCTTTTCGAGGTATTGTTTTGTTTTAATTTTTTTCTTAAGGTAAATGTCACTATCTCATACTCCTTGTGATTTTTCTGCAGATATTGGAATTACCTCAGGAAGCAAACATTTGTTCTGGAATCATACATTTCAACTGTTAACTGGATTATGAACCGTGCATTATTCTCTGTGCATTGTTACTTATCCTGGGGGTTTTGTTTACCATACTTTATGGCAACGGTACATCTTGCAACAGCAGTAAGAGCACAGTATAGTGAGTATCTACTGAAGGAAATAGGCACCTTATCATGTGGTGAGCACGCTACCTACACTTTCTACACTGGTGCTAATAGAAGATTAATGTGTTACCTTTAATGAAGCTTTTCACGAGGGCCGTTTATGGGGAATTAGATGTAGTTAGAAATCATAAGTGTCCCTCTTTGTGAGCTGTGAAGCTTTGTGACTCTGAATTGGGGCTTTTAACAGTTTCTTCAACAATTATGTAGTGAAGTGAATAGCTCCAAAGATCTTACTGCATACATTTCTTTTACAAATATATTTGCAATAGCTGCATTTTAATGCTGAAACTAGTTAAGGATGGGATCATTTTCGGTGATAATTATGGTTGAAGTAGGATTTATGAATTTCATGTGGAGTTGGAAGGACTTTTGTTCTCCTCTGGCTGTGTGAAACTTGAAAGAAGGAAAATATGTAAAAAGTAAATAGAAATGAATAGAAAGGAGAAATTGGTTTGAACTGTTTCCTGTCCGGTTATAAGTTTTCTTTTATTTATTATTTTGTTTTTTTTTCAGGTTTGAGATTAGTGGGCTGCTTGGCTGCATGCGCTCTTATAGAACTACTTTCCATGTGGAATTTGACGAAGGTGGAGATTCACTTGTGCAATATTTTATCTCCAGAATGGCCGCAAATCTCGCTTCGTTCATATAACTGGGGACTTGTATGCATCTTCTTTGACTCTAGTCATCTTCTTTGCATTCTTATGCTGTTCTGTCTATATTATGACCGGGTTAACTTTTGTCTTTTTTTTTTTTAATCCAAACATCGTATAATGCTTCTTTTTTTTTTGGTCTCAATTGTATATTACTTGCAGGTCTTTATTGCGATGCTAGTGGACAATTTCCTATACCCAATTTCTGCAGTAAGATCGCATTTTTCACAAAGTATCAACTGGTCTGGTGTCCGATACCATCTGAGAGATGGAAAAATAATCAAGGTATATGCAGTTTACTAGAATAGAAGCTAGTTTTAATTGAGGTCATGTCATTCTATCGCTAACACATCCTAGTTCAAGGATATTTTGTGAGGAGATTATTGTGGCGTATTTGAGTTGTTTTTTCGTCATCTTCTATGTTTGACTTTGTACTCTTGTGGGATTCCTTATGTTGTATTTCTCTTTTGTGTGATACCTGCAGATTGAAAGATCCAAGGAGCGGGGAACGAAATATTCTGATCTTGCACGAAAGCGCCTGTACGCAAAAAAACCTAAAGTTTCATTGCTCAGCTCCTTCTCTAGAAATTTCTCGCTGTGGCATCAACCAAAGGAAGTGTGACAACTAGTAGCTTGTATTAGTTGCAAATAACACTCTCATTCTTGATTGCATTCTTGGCATTGCTTTGTATTCATTGACCTTTCATCCCTTTTTGGGGTTTATACAGGGGTCACATTCAATCAAATTGAATTTTTTTGGCCTGCTTAGGTTATCTACATAGCTTAAGACATACACAAAACTCTCAAGACTTTAGATCGCCCATCCATCGATGATGTTCAAACTTTTCACGGTGCCAAAATGTTTACGGAGATCATAGACGAGGAGGACAAAAGGTGGTCAATATTGCGTTTGGCGGTCTTTGTCAGAAATATGCACATCGAAGAGATTGTGTATAAAAAAGCGTAGTTTCGGATATTGTCCTATGGTTGAGATATGGTGTATATGTGCACAGGTTTCTGATACATTTCATACAACATTTAAAAAGCACATAAAGCAAGAAGAAAGAAACTAGTTATTACTACATTTTTCACGTTTTATCATTCTTTAAGTGAATTTTATATTATCCTCTTCTAATATCAAATTCAGACATACCAAGATGCACCACATGTTTCGACTTCATAGAGAGACTACTGATTTTCTAACGTGTAAGAGCAAGGGCAACAAGCTCTGAAGAAAGCTCTCAAGGCTGACGTGGCCGTGGAAAACGGCAACCCCCCTCCAACAACCTCCTAACCGCTCCCAAGCCCTGCTCCTTAGGCTTACGTGGCTCTTGAGAGCTTCCGAGCTCCCAATCGCTCCACAAATTTGTGGAGCGCTTGGGAACTCCCAACTAGAAAAGAATTTAACAAAAAACCCCCCACAAGTACACAATTGCAGAGCTGAAAGCCTCTCCAGAGAACTGCACTAGAGATGAAGGATACGCTGATTCCACAAAAAGTGCTCATGTATACAAAGCAACAAGATAATCTCCAAACTTCAAGATATTAATAAGTTGGAAACAGATGAACAAAACCTGGAGGGGTTCTTCCAACAAATTTATTAACGCAAGACCTTGAAATGGGAAGATCCACTTGAACACCAAAAGAGCAAGCAATATATGAAACAATCACACAAGCAAAATACTTTGTCATACCAAACAACAGTGCCATTTTCATAGCAAGGTATTCTCCAAGTTCAAACATAAAAAAAAAAGCAAATAAACCAAGCCTACAACAGCATCCTGGAGGGGGGGAAATTATAAGCTTCCAAACTTATTGACACATCAAAAACTAAACCCTAATACTGGGGGATCTCCTCGCATCCCTCTTTTATCTCAAAACACCATCCTCACCAAAAGATCAAAAAACCTCGCCCTAGTACTTGTAGTCCTTCACGTGGAGGCTCTCTGACGCTCCTTCGACCTTAGCAGCGTCGCCCTTGTAAGTCCCGAGAGTCGCCTCGGAGTTCGCCTTACACCTCGCGAGGAAAGCTGCCCTAGCTTTCTCGACATTCTCCTTCTTCCCTGCCCAGGTCTTGAGCGTGCTCTGCTGCAGAGCTCGGCCAAAAGAGAAGGACAATGACCATGGCTTCTTCCCCTTGAGCTGGTTCATGGCGTTCAAGTTCAACGTGGCCTCCTCCTCACTCTGACCTCCAGAGAGGAAGACGACGGCAGGGACAGCAGAAGGCATTGTCCTTAGAAGAGCCCTCACTGTGTACTCGGCCACCACCTCTGGCTTCACCTTGGCTGCGTCTGAACCAGGAGTCACCATGTTTGGTTTCAGTAAAGTCCCTTCTAAGAGAACCTTGTGGTCATTGAGAGCCTTGTAGCAAGCTGCAAGGACTCTCTCGGTGACATCTGCGCACTTGTTGATATCATGAGATCCGTCAACAAGGATCTCTGGCTCGACGATGGGGACTAGCCCGTTCTCTTGGCAGATTATAGCGTATCGTGCCAATCCTTGGGCATTGACATCGATAGCAAGCTGAGAGGGCTCATTAGCGCTAATCTTGAGGACTGCACGCCACTTTGCAAAGCGTGCACCAGCTTCATAGTACTTAGCACAACGCTTGCCAAGGTCGTCGTGGCCTTGGGTGGTGGTCTCGCCGTTGGTACCGGCGAGCTCGATGGTGCCCTTGTCGACCTTGATTCCAGGGAGGACTCCTCCTGCCTTGAGGACGTCGACGAAAGGCTTACCATCAGCGGTTTTTTGGTAGAGGGTTTCTTCGAAGAGGATGACACCGCTCAGATACTGGAGGGCGCCTGGAGTACAGAAGAGGAGCTCACGGAGAGCACGGCGGTTCTCCTCAACGTTCTCAACATTGATGCTCGCTAGACGCTTTCCAATGGTGCCGCGGTGGATTCATCGGCAGCAAGGATACCCTTGCCTGGGGTGCCAATGTATGCAGCGTTGGCAATGAGCTCATCTGCAATAAAATTGAAGTTAGACTTCCAAGTTGTCCCACTACCATACAATACGGGTGATAGTAATGACAAAATAAAACCTAAACAGATTAGATTGTAATCGAGTTTTGATGTTAACAAAGTATGTGAATCAGATAAAACTAACCACCCTTAAGATAATTTGAAACCAGAAAATTTTGAAAAACTACAGATATTCTAAATATTGGAAGGATCTATCAAAACACATAATATTCTTCTTGCTTTTGCATGTACAGTTGGTATGATCTCGGCATCTTTTT